TCAGCCATCTTGTCCCAAACTTGCACTTGGACTCCTTCTCTTGGGCCACCAAGTCACTCCCAACCCCAAGTGAAGAATCCACTGTTGTCCGGCAGAGAGCCGTGTTCATGAAAAATCACAGAAAATGATCCACAATTATTCCAGCAAAAGGTAGGGGTAGCATGTGGAAAGATATCACGGTAACCTTGGATAGGTTGACAGTGTTGACCCTTACAAAAGCAGTTGATAGTGTATTTTGTCATATGAACTGCTGACCTTTCTTTCTAGACATCTGGTCAGAACATCCTTGGAAGAGCTTTCATCGTCGTCAACCTCAACGGTTAACTCTTTTACCTGTCACTGGCATTAAATCAAGTTCCACCGAGACTTGAACTCGGATCACTGGATTCAAAGTGCAGAGTGCTGACCATTACACCATGGAACCACAGGACATGCCTGTCAAGCTTTTGCAACATAATTAGAGATCAGGTTTTCCGGCCAGGTTAAGCGTTGTAAGTCTAAAAGGTATGTAAGACATGAGAAAAATTGGGTCTATTTCGACAAACTTACAGCTGTTTCGTTCACTGACAGGGAAGGGAGCATTGCGTGTTTAACAAATTCATTGTGAATCCATTCATCTGTGGGGTTTGCAGGAGGCAAATTCAAAACTTCCTCATGTACGAGGATGGACAAGTGGCATTCCGTGCGGTACTGCAGCTTCAAAACCAGGTCCCACCGAGACTTGAACTCGGATCGCTGGATTCAGAGCCCAGAGTGCTAACCATTACACCATGGAACCGGCACATGGCCACAAGAGGTCCTTTCTCACGGTGCATTCCCATGTATGTTAACGATGCAGCGCATAGGTGACGAAAGACACGACTGCCTACAAACAATGAATGCAGCAGGAGATGTGGGTAGCGTGTTGAAACACATGGAACCTTTACATAGGTTGACTAGGTAAAGCCTTACAAACGGTGCTGCTAATGTATTTGCTCATATGTGTTTCTTTCCAAACACAGAGTTAGCGGAGTGGAAAATTGTTGCTGTCAGAAGTGGGATTCGAACCCACGCCTCCAGGGGAGACTGCGACCTGAACGCAGCGCCTTAGACCGCTCGGCCATCCTGACGCCTTGAGCTGATTTTTTCGGATCTCGAAGAATCGTCTCGATGGTGCAGGGGTAGAATTTCAACTGAATCTGGGCGAACAGAAGGATTTTCTTCATTCAGGAAGAGGAAAATGCTCGTTTGGTCTCTTGACCGGGCTAAGCGTAGATAACTGGGCTAAGCGTACACTGAGGATTTGGGAAATAGCCCCATAAGCCTCTGATTTGAATGATTCTTACAATGAATCCAGTAACCGATAGGAGTGGCGTGTGGAAAAACATCACGGTAACTTTGGATAGGTTGACAACGTAGACAGTGCACTTACAAATAGTGATGCTACTGTATCATATGACAACGTTCTGTTTAGAAGCAGCAGCCTCTGCTGTTTGTTAAGAGAAATGAAAAAGCTTGCAGCACCTGGTATTCCTAGGCAGTCTCCTATCCAAGTACTAAACAGGCCCAACCCCGCTTAGCTTCCGAGATCGGGCGTGTTCAGGGTGGTCTGGCCGTAAGCAAGAGCTGCACCTGCAAATGGACCCTTTAAAGACGTTGTTACACCATGTTCTGTTATTCTGTCAGATTAGGGTCTATGCGTAGGAGAATGTGAGAATACATTCAAGACGTTTATTTATGTACGTACGATTTGACGACCAACTTTTATTGATTTGTTTAAAGCACTCAGTAGACGGATGAGCCAAGCCTGTTGGTTGAGGGTCATTCCTGACGAACAGGAGAAGGTAGGCGATCTCGACTAGCACCAATCCGGACCTGGGAGGCGGGGGACCCTCTGCTGCGTTGGAGGCAGAGCGTGGCTGGACCAAGGCTGGATCTGTGGTGGTAGGGGAGCCATCAGCCACCACGTCAGGAGCGGGGGTCTGGCCAGGAGATGGGCGCTCACTCAGCTTGCGCTTCCCTGGAAGCCGCAGTTGATCCCCACTGTCCAGAGTTTGGAATTTGCTGCTCAGCAAGAGAGTGTCAGCTGCAATTCGTCGGCTGGAACGTTTAGCACGCCGCACACTTCTGACCCGGACCCATGACTCCGTGTTGCGGGGAGTGGAGCAGGCCTGGAACTCAGGTCCAGCCCCGAGGGTGGGCCACGAGTCGGTGCTAAGAGCTGGGATATTTGTTGAAAGGATCGGCTCCCCCAAAAAAACAATGAATCCAGCAACCGACAGGAGTAGCGTGTGGAAACACATCATGGTAACTTTGGATAGGTTGACAACGTAGACCCTTACAAACAGTGCTGCTACTGTATTTTGTCATATGATCTGCTGACCTTTCTTTCCAAACATCATTTTAGACCATCCTGACTCTTTCAGCGCTTTGCTTTTGAATCTGGATGGATGCTCTCAACGGTGCAGCGGTAGAATTTTAACATAATCTGAGCAAACAGAAGGACTTTCTTCATTCAGGAAAAAAAATGCTTGTTTGGTCTCTTGATCTGTCGACGCGCTTAACCTTTGTCCCATCGATATGCATTAGGGTCTTGTACAACGGGCTCTTGTGCAACGGGAAAAGAACTATGTGGCGCGAACTACGGCCCTTAGAGCTGAACGCAGCACCTTAGAGCACTCAGCCATCTTGTCCCAAACTTGCACTTGGACTCCTTCTCTTGGGCCACCAAGTCACTCCCAACCCCAAGTGAAGAATCCACTGTTGTCCGGCAGAGAGCCGTGTTCATGAAAAATCACAGAAAATGATCCACAATTATTCCAGCAAAAGGTAGGGGTAGCATGTGGAAAGATATCACGGTAACCTTGGATAGGTTGACAGTGTTGACCCTTACAAAAGCAGTTGATAGTGTATTTTGTCATATGAACTGCTGACCTTTCTTTCTAGACATCTGGTCAGAACATCCTTGGAAGAGCTTTCATCATCGTCAACCTCAACGGTTAACTCTTTTACCTGTCACTGGCATTAAATCAAGTTCCACCGAGACTTGAACTCGGATCACTGGATTCAAAGTCCAGAGTGCTGACCATTACACCATGGAACCACAGGACATGCCTGTCAAGCTTTTGCAACATAATTAGAGATCAGGTTTTCCGGCCAGGTTAAGCGTTGTAAGTCTAAAAGGTATGTAAGACATGAGAAAAATTGGGTCTATTTCGACAAACTTACAGCTGTTTCGTTCACTGACAGGGAAGGGAGCATTGCGTGTTTAACAAATTCATTGTGAATCCATTCATCTGTGGGGTTTGCAGGAGGCAAATTCAAAACTTCCTCATGTACGAGGATGGACAAGTGGCATTCCGTGCGGTACTGCAGCTTCAAAACCAGGTCCCACCGAGACTTGAACTCAGATCGCTGGATTCAGAGCCCAGAGTGCTAACCATTACACCATGGAACCGGCACATGGCTGCAAGAGGTCCTTTCTCACGGTGCATTCCCATGTATGTTAACGATGCAGCGCATAGGTGACGAAAGACACGACTGCCTACAAACAATGAATGCAGCAGGAGATGTGGGTAGCGTGTTGAAACACATGGAACCTTTACATAGGTTGACTAGGTAAAGCCTTACAAACGGTGCTGCTAATGTATTTGCTCATATGTGTTTCTTTCCAAACACAGAGTTAGCGGAGTGGAAAATTGCTGCTGGCGGAAGTGGGATTCGAACCCACGCCTCCAGGGGAGACTGCGACCTGAACGCCAGCTGCCGTCGGACCGTCCGGGGAAATGTTGTAACATTCTTGGCCAATCTCCGTGTTGCATTCTTCCCAGGCTCTTAACATTTGACCAATCATGGGCGAGAATTATGAAGCGAAGCACTTGCTGCGCTCACCTGAGGGAGGCGTTCACGTTCGCGTTGGAGTGGGGACCAAGCTAAGTAAAGCATTCGTGGTTAAAGTTGTCATATGGTGAGTATGCACATATTTGCTACGGTGTTTGATGATATAACATTTATTCATGTTAGAAAATAACTTCACTTGTCCTGTGGTGTTGTTATTATGGTTTTATAGGTAACGTTATAACTTAACGTGTGTGATGTTGTCAAATCGATTTATTTAGCTACAACGGCGGGGGGGGGGGTGACATTGGTGTTGTTTTTGATGAACGATCATTGTCACCTATTTTACCAATATTTTTATAATTTTTTAAATTGACTACTGTAGTTTAAATGTATCCCTCTCTCAATCCCCTTGTACCAGTCCACAGTAAAGTATTGTCTGGAGTTATGTTGCAGCTTAACCCCTGATATATATATATATATATATATATATATATAACGTTATATAGCCCATGGTATGGTAGTGATGACAACCCTAATAAACCATTAGGATACAGAAAACTATTACTATTGTTGTCATAATTGTGTACATACATTGTATGTGTACGTATTATGGTGTTATGCATTAAAAAATCATCACGAATGAATTTATCATCAAAGGCTTCCAAATCAAAGACACCGACTCAGAGTGGATGTCACGCCTGAGGAAGTTCGCCAGTACTGGAGCCTGGCCTTCAAATGAGGGAAACCGGCCAGCTCCTAGGCAGAAGAAGTGGCATGAGCTTTATCAGAGGGTATGATACTTGGCAGAGTATATTTTAGTAATTGTTATTTACTCTCATAATACATTTGTGCTCACCATATCATATAAAATCACATATATCACCATATAAGTATATGTCAATGTTACTAGGAGGTTATAAACATGTAATGGCAAATAATGTAGTCTTCTGTAATTACTCCATGCTCAACTCAATGAAACGTACAACTTTTACTTGTAGATTGAAAAATGTCCAATGACAAGACCTGGACACTATAAATACACTAATTGCCTCATGCATCAAGTGTTTAGTGTAAGAGTTGTGCGTCACATCAGTGGCACTGTGTCCTAATTGAGTTTCCTTTTGCTTGTCTTTAGCAGTCGTATGTCTTCATGTTACTAAAAATTAACCAGAAATCCCTCATGAGTGTAATGACTTTAATTGGAGACAGATTGATTTGTACATCATAACCATGTTCATAAAGTGCAACACAGAAAAAAAAAGCTCAAACAATCCAGCTTTTCTCTTCCTCCTTAAATAGTTGTAGACTTGTATTCACAACCCAATATGAAAATATTTCCCTTGTGGAACACATTACACGTTAATTTAAAGCAAAATAACATACAGTACAGTATGTGAAACTCTTCACCTTCATCTAGTGCACATTTCAGCCAGGATCTATTTCATCACGCAGGACTTATTAGACATGTGCAGCAGGGTTTCAATAATTACCTGGGGGGGGCAGGATTCAGAACACTTGATGTCTTTAAAGGGACTGTGGTAAGATTCAGCTGAGTAAATGCGATGTAAATGTGGAAGAAACCCTGGAATACATGACATGAAGCCCAAGAACTGTGTACATGTAGCTGGAGATGAACTCAAAGCACACCTCCAAAAATAAAATACATAAAGAACATAAACAAATGTATGTTTCATTGTCAAATTTCCCCATTTCCTTTTCAAAAACTTAAACATATTAAATATTCCTACACCATTTATCACAATTTTGCTGGCAATTCAGTCCCTTAACATTATTATTTATTACCCTGTAAATAACATTGGCTGTTGTGATCTCTTTGTATAAAACTGCACTTGTATTATCTATGGCAGCTTAACACTTTAATGCTGTGTCTGATTTCGGAGAACTTTGGTTTTGTAAAATAAGTGCTGCCAAGTGTAAAATATTCCATTAAAATCTTCAACAAATATCCACATAACTCCACTGGGTCAAGTTTAACAGGAGTTTGAATATTTGGGTTTTGGCTGAGCTGCGAAGATGGAAATCACTCCGTATCAAAGCTAACGTCTGATGTCTAAACCTTAAAGGAATAGCACCAACATTATGGGAAATATTCACTCTTTTGTGCAGTAAACATAAAGCCACAGCCAGTTAGCTTAGCTTAGCACAAAAAATGAAGATGGGGAAAAAGGCAGCCTGGGTCTGTCCAAAGTTTAATAATACACCTACCAGCACCTCTAAAGGTCAATAATAAACACATTTTATTGTTTGTTTAATCATTACAAAAACCGAAGTGTAAAGCAGAGCTGGGATACCCGTTTCCCCTGGTTTCCAAACTTTAAGGTAAACTAAGCTAACAGCTGTGGTAATTTCATATTTAGTGTACAAATAGTGAGTGGTATCAATCTTCTCATCTAAATTTTGGCAAGAAAACGAATGGGTATGTTTTCCAAAACTATTCTTTTTAATTTTATTTGACTTTGCAGCTTTGTCAAAATTAACTAAATAAATAAAATAAAGAATTAGCATCTCTGTGCTTAAGGTTTTTTTGGACCACGGATTTATGTATTGTATGCACAAAACAAATCATAATCCTACAAGTGCTGTTTTATTAAATCATTTCTTTGACTCTAACCCTCAGTCCTTTAAGTCTTCAACCAATCTGGTAATTTATTATTTTTTTTTTTACAAAGAAAAACACTAGCACACACATACAGCAGAGCGAATTTAACCACCACACAATAAGCCTAAAAATACAACACCCACAGCTCTATTTTTTTTACATTTCCAAACAGCCTTCAAGCATTCAAAGCAAAAACACCTTCAAACAATCTTAACTTCAACTAATGAGGTCAACTGATAGTCATTGCTTCCAACTAGGAGGTTCTGTATATATTCATACATTTGTGAAAGGAATAAAACACATTTTCACATTGTTACACACTGTTTTTTTCCAGTTTAAGTTTGGAATGACCTCACTGTTAATGTACATACTCTTACACATCCTTCAGGAGTATCCCCATACCTGACCACTTTGAAGAAGCACAAAACAGATAACAGGAGAACAAAATGATATGAACACATACGAGCTTTGCTGAAGGGATTCAACTCAACTTGGCGAAATCCAATTTGAAATCCTTAAATTTTCCCAGCTAATTCAACTAAATACAGAGATCTGTGTCACGTGTGGTGAGAATGACTGATCAAAATGTTAGGAAAGTCTTAATTTTCTCCTTAAGTCCTCAGTATGCTTCAAACAAAGAGTTTATTGGATCATCTGAGGTTGCTAGATCCTTAATGAGGAACTCCCAAAGGAAACTGAATAAGATGATCCCTAAGAACACCAGTTTAACGTATTTTCATTGTCTGATGTATCACAGAAAACCCCTAAACTTACATGCTGAAGTACATGCGTTACCAGTTACCAAATGATTTGCATAAACCTACACATGGTAATGTGTAAACCGCACCAGAGTTGGCCTAGAACCAGACTGAGACTATAGACTGTATTTAAGGATGGATGACACACCCATGTCCCATCTGTTAACATGACCCATACTGCAGCCAGCCACCAGGGGGCTCGAGAGTTCGTTGCCATCTAACTTCGCACCGGCCATAAAAAAGAAAATCTAACAAGGCAATTACACTAGTTTGTTTAAAATGAACCAGATATGATGGAAGCAATTAAAATGTGTCTAACATCTTTCTAATGGCAGAACCAGAGTCCAACAGTCTTTGTAACAGACTACTACGCACTAGGTCGATTGAAGCATACTGAGACCTTTATTCTGACCAGGAAGTTGAGGGAACACAGAGAATCTTTATTGTGAAAGCCAGCTAACATGTGAGAAGATGTCTGAAAGTCAGGACAACCATGTGTGAAAGAAGAAAGAGTCTGTATTTTTAAAAAAGTACATGTTGAAGGAATGGTCCCTGTGTCCTGTAAGCTTTAAGTGCAAACACTATCTCCAAAGTTTATACGGGAATGTTTTTCTGCTGTCAGTAGCTATCTACTCATCTACAGCAGTTTATCAGACAGCGGTGTGTGGAAACGCTGTAAATGCTCCAGTGATATGGACATAAGTTATAAAACAATAACCATAATAATAATGCAGTCATGCCATGTTTCAAGATACTTGAACCTCAATGAGTGCAGATAATCACTTGGTATCAAGCTGTAAGGTTCATGACATACTTGCTTTTACCAAAATTAATGTGTAGACAAGTGGCTCCAAAACAAGCATAATTTTTCCCACTTTGAACAGGAGTGCATGTAATTCTACATCACCATATTAATATGTAACATGAGAAAGTGGATTTTCCAGTATCTATTTAGAAACTGTTAAAAGATCAATTATGGTAATGATGGAATGGGAATGTCTGCTTTTAGCTAATCCAGTGACATAAAAACGTGAGAAATTAAGGTATTTTCTTACAACTTAGGATCACATTCATTCATAATAATAAATAATAATAATTCACACAAAACACCTAATATTGTCTCAGGACAGTCCTGCTCATTGGTCGGCAACAATTCATATAATAACACAATACCCCATGAGACTTTTGACTCATGGGGTATAAGTACTACAGCGGTTACATTCTAAAGCACCTTTCGCACAATCCTGCAGAAGGTGTCTACTGCTGGGTTTTGTGCAGAAGCTGCACTGTCTGCTGTGCCTTTTATAGAGTCCCGACTTCAGACCCTGTGCATTTCCAAAAGGTTGACACCCAGAAACACCGAGCAACAGGCAGAGGGCTGCAGGGTCTCTGCAGATACAGACACCACCACACAATTCTAGTGGGTCAGTGATGATTGAGAGGGATTTTTATTTTCTTAGGAAAATCCTACCTAGAATACCTTTAATGAATTACATTTGAAAATAATTTTAATGAACCAATCCGAAGCTTTCTGTAACAAATGACTCAAACCCTGTCTTAAGTGGGTCTACAGTTCGGCCACCCAGGCTATTTATTACCTGATTCAGACTGGCAGAACTCTATAGCAGATTAGGTCCAATTTCTCCTTGGCCAAAACTGGAAAATCTTCATTCAAAATTTGGATTTTGCACAGTGTAAACATAACCTAACATAGCAACACTATATATATTTACTGAGTGTTGACATGATGAAAGAAAAAGCAACAACAAGCTCTATTCACTTCTGTTGTTTGTTCATTATGACTCTGACCAGCCTGCTCATGACGCTCCAAAGGAACCATCACGCTCACACAAACATGGAGTTAAAAGCAAGTATATCAGTGCTCTGAGCCGGTAGGTGATTGGCAAAAGCACACCATAAATTCATTGAGGATTTTCAGTCTGTGACTAGCATGTGAACACACGGTCTGATTAAATGGTTCGGTACCACAGTGACCTGTGAAGTGGATCTCCTCACTACTGTTTTCAGTGCAGATGTAGATACTTGATATTATCTTCTATAACTATCTGCTTTGTACTTCAGCACTGTCCCGCTAAAGGGCAAAGCAAGAGGGTGCTATGTGTAGCATTTCAACGCTAAGAAGTCAAAAACCTATTTTGATGTGGGTACATCTGCTAGCTACTAAGCTGCAACTGACATTCACTGTAAAATCTGTTAGATTACAGCGTGGAAGTGGAACTTTTTAGTATTTGAAGGGAACACAACTTCACACTGACATACTGTGTCACATTAAAAATGTATTTGCGGTTACTTTTATATATCTCCTTACCTTTCAAAACAAATGTAGCAATACCCTCTTTGCAGGCTGCAGTGGGGCTCATGGGATATGTGGTCTTAATATTGGGAAATGCTAAATGCTACACATAGCTCGTTTAGGAACACGTGTCTTTCTTAATCTCTCTTAACTTCTTATGCAAGATCAAGGCCTAAGCTGAAAGTAATACTACAGACAGTGGGTGTTCGATAGTCTAGTCCCAGAGAGTTTGATGGAATGTCTCCTTATATGGTCAAAGAGAAGATTCATTTCCATCCTACTGGACCAATCAGAGTGCAGAGGGAGGAAGGTAAAAAGGCAGATGAGCAGAAATTAATTTATCTCTTTCAGGCTGTCCTCCTCTTCTTTCTTTAGCCATATCTTCTTGTGTTTCATCTCCTTCTCTCTCCTTTTTCCCGTCTTCCTTCACTTCTTCCTCTCTCTCCCGTCAGTAGCGTGTTGAGTACCAGTCATTGTCGGTCATCTGTACGAGCTCGTTGACCACATCCAGCAGATTGTAGTTGTATTTGTTCAGCAGCCGCTGGTTCAGTGGCCGGTCCCCGAAACCCATCTCCACCAGCACGGCCATCATGGTGTCCTGGGTGGACGCGTCCACAGGAGGCTGCACAGGAACAAGATCTCATCAATCCAAAAAAAACTACTACTGATCATATAAACCCAAATGTCCTAGCAACGAGCAGATGGTAGTGAGTACAGCAAAAATGTAAGGAATAGATTATCCTCTTGAACTCCGCTAGGACGCCAACGTCTTTGGCCGACACTACTGTCTTTCACAGGCAGTAGCCGTTTTGAAGCTAGAGCGAAGACCAACTGCATCCATTGTGCCAATGGAACCACGTCATGCAAGCTTGCTGGAAAGGCTAAAAGGTAAATATGGCTCCAGGCTAAGGCTAAATTCTGGCGATGGAAAAACAGGCACCTCTGACCTCAAGGTATCTGAATTAAAACAGAAGTGCTCGCCATCCAATCACCGAAGAATGCAATTCTTACAGAAATCTTTAAATGATTTTAATTTTAAGTTTTAAGTTAAGACACCATATGGTGTTCCTCAAGGTCTTAGTGTCTTAATCTGATGTAAATATATTTTCAAGTGGTCAAAAATTGTAAGTGCGGTGCAGTCCTTGTTATAAACACACCTTATCCATCATTTAAAGCAACGGGAAAAGATATCGGTAAAATCGGATCAACTGATTGAAGGACTATCGGGACATCCCTGATTTTTATACTTTAAGAGTGCTGTGAACGCTTTAGATAGAAATTGGATTGCCCGATATTAACTGCTTGCTGACCTGTGTGGGGCCTTGTCCAGTGAACAGGGCTTTGTAGGCAGAAGCAGCTACTGACAGAGCTCCTTTCATCAGGCCGCTGGTGATGCCTGGGTGCCTGAGGAGACACAATAGAGGTTACGTTCAAAATGTGACTGTGACGTGGCCGTGGCTACATCCTCAACTCAGAATTTCCATGGAAGTAATGATGTATTAAATTAGAAACTTTTCACTTGTGGCAGGGAACAATACCAACCCCATCATAACCTCCTCTACTTGAGGTCATGTGGTCATTACGGTAGATAATATTTTGCTTTATATTCACTTCACATCCAAACAGAACCTTTTAGATCTGACTCCCACAAAATTAGTATTAGTCTAATTCAAATTATACTTGTAAATGATAACTGGTTACTGAAGTCCATGGATGACCATCCATTCAGTCCAATAACATTTTGAAAGTTTAGAAGCCCTAACCCTAACCTGCCGGATTAACACAGGTCTAAACTGGAAGTTAGGTAATTTCTTTACGGCGGGAAGTGGCTTTTTTGGCTTCATGCGCCACTGAACAGCTTTCCTAGGACGCCTACAACGCAGTAACCAGTTCTCTTTATACATCCATGTAGCTCAACCAGCCACAGTAGTTTACCAACTAGCCACCACCAAGCTTTTACAACAAAATATTGTGCGAAGATGAATTATGCTGGTGTAACCAGGTCTTTATGAAACAGAACAACAACACAGTTACATTTAAACTGAGTGAGATGGTTTTATTAATCAGTGCGCCTTGATGCAGCTAGTTATTCAAACGGTTGATATTGTGTTATTCACATTACTTGGTACATGATCTTCATTAACAGTGTTTTGTTTTACACATTAAACACATTAAACACATTAAGGCACACATGCTAGTTTGAGAGAGTGTTCGAATGTGTGTGTGTGTGAGACCTGGGGTCATCAGGGTTGTCCTCAGTGTCTTCAGTAGCTTCGGTCTCATCTGTCTGAGTTGGTTCAGGACCAGAGGCTGTGGGACAACAAAACATCACATGATCCTTGACTCCATCACACATCTACCCAGTATTCACATCTATAGCTCTTAACACCTAATAAACATCACTGTGCCTTAATAACAGAGCTGCTATTCCACTGGTGGTGACAAAGCGATGTGCTTACCATCCTCAGTTTGGTACAGTTCAGAGCCGTCTGCTCCTTCCCCGGCAGCAGCAGGGTCAACATCTGTTTCTCCACTGCTCTCTGGACTGTACAACAGTTTCACAGCTCTCATCAACCAGCAGTTATAAATGCCAAATAAAGACTATTTAATAGTTGACATGTTTCAGCATAATATATATTTCCACAGCACCAGCAACACAGCATCATGTGTGACCAAATTCAACAGTTCTTGTCCCCATTATTTACTTTGACACCGAAACATGGGAAAATAAAGTGGAAAAATACAGAAATGACCCTTAAAGCAACTATTAAGCTCAACACTTCCTCAAAAAGCTGTACTCAAAACATTTTCAGTACATTCATGCTGCTGTGTTTGTATTCCACCCTTCACACTGACCTGGGTGTGATGACGGCTGTGGGCGGTGCCACCACTTCAGGTGTCAGCGGCTCATCGTCAAGTGTCTGAGACGTACACAGCATGTCGTTGGCGCTGCTGGTACCTGACACCCCCGTCTCTGGAGCTGCCGCGGCTTCATCTGCCTCGCCCAGCTCCCCCTCTGGGGTGGAACTGCCTGAGTGGTCAAGAGATGGTGTTTCTGGGTCTGTGGGGGTCTTCGCTGGGATGTCTCCAGGCTGGGACAGAGCAGAGCTGCAATGGAAGAATGAACGGAGAATTAAGGGAGTGTGACAACGCACACAGCCATATTGGATCTACTGAATCTAAGCTACATTGGTCTTATGTAGAATTTATTATTTAGTTTATTTTACAACAATTTTTTTGCCACCACCACAGATTTCCATTACAGCCAACACGTACCTGTACATGGACTCCCCCAGTGGCCGACTGGTGTCAAAGCAGTCAGGGAGGATGATGATGTAATCCTCAGAGGAGGTGGAGGAGGAGCGACTCCTCACCCCTTCTCTCTTCTCCTCTCCCTCTTTCTCCTTGTCCTCCTCTGGCTTCTTCTCTCTCTCCATGTTGGACTCCTCACTTTCATCTGTGTTGGGATCAAGAAAATTGATACGTTTCATGAACGATACAGGGCAGATTTTCAAAGTTTGTGATTAGAGCCCAGAGCAAAAAGGGGCCGGATTTTGGAATTTCTTGAAAAGTTTTAAACTCTTTGGACAACATTATTGGTATAAATATTGTTTAAATGGCTAATAGGCATTTAAACATTTATTTTCCCCAAATCTCATGCTAATCCTGTTTTAGCAACTATGTGCTGGAACTTTTTCTTGATGATTAACCCAGGTTGCCAGATACGGTCAGTGAACACAGGTTTTTGTCTCTGCACCAAACCCGACCTCAACCCGATCTCAACCCGATCTCACTGATATGACAAGAAGGAATCTACGTGCCATCACTGCTCCTAGCTGTTATTCACCAAAAATAGTTCCAGCCCCTTAAACCACAAATTCTCGTTTTTTTCTGTTTGTGTACAGATCAAACAAACAATATTCAAAACGCATGCTTTGCAACACTGTCTCATCATCCACTTCAGAGAGCATATTTTTCTCATATGAACTCCAGACCTGTCCGTGGATATGACTATATGATTGAGGAGGAAAAACATCATGCTGCTCAGCTTTGCCTCAGGCCTGTACTGCAAAGCAAGTTTAACATACCCAGGATGCCTTTTAGTTATCAGGCTTCACTAACCCTAACATCCACAATCTCGCTAAGTGGTCACACTAAGGTGGTCAGCAACTCCCAATCAAGCCATGAGCGAGTTCAGATAAACGGGGACAGTGTTTACAGAATATGACCAATCACAAACAAGTCTACTGCCAGCAGACTGAAGAGCACGCTATAGGAAGAAGCATCAGTTGCAGTTTCCAAATGCAGGAGGGAAAACTGGCACAAAATCATCAACTGTGTAAATGTGTAAATTAACAGGCTTATAATATCACTGCTCTATCATTAGAGGAGACTATAATTACATCTGTGTATTGTATTAAAACAAACTGTAGCTGAGATGTCTGTACCTTTTCCACATTAACCGAATAAGTGGTCCATTAAATTCAGATTTTTTTATTTTAACACACTAGATAATGTACCAAACATTGTTCTAAGTCGACTTATAAATTAATGCAATAAAGAAATACTCAAATAGTGATTGAAAACATTTACTGAAACTTCACCCATATTACCTGCACCCAAAGGTGCAGCAGTACATGACCAGTTTCTGTAATGAAATGCAACTTAAAGTTTTAATAAATAAATATTATTAATATTAAACTTAATTTGTATACTAAAATATATGCTCATAATAAACATTTTAAATAAACCACTTATTTTAACAACTGCGACAGGTGGTCTGGAATGGACTTGATTTCAAATAAAAACTAAATTTAACGCTCAGTAGGCTTACTTTCATATCTTATTAAGTACAACAAGTACAAGACATTACTGCTTCAATCATGATAAGATCAGTCATTCCCCCTACCAAGAATCTATATCTCATATAAAACACTCAGATTAAGCCAAAGGGCTTTGCTGGTCTCTGAACACTCTTTCCCTCATAAGAGACCCTCTTTCGATCCACAGGATCAATACTTAATACATCCTTGAGATCTTTTATGAATGGTGATCAAATTTTCCAAGAGTATTGATTGGTCAGTGGGAAGTGCTTTTGTAGAGTTGCTTATCTCAAACATAACCTGCACTGGATCAAATCTTGGTTTGAAGTACAGGCTCCTGGACAGGTAAAGGTTACCATTTAGGTTATTTACAGAGGGGAATGCTGCTTTAAGTAAAACATATGCAGGTTTGTCAGTTTATGTCAGAATCAATAGGGCTCATCGGCTTGAAAACACAATATGTTAGCCAACTACAATTCAAAGTTCTTTTCCACGTCTTTAGTCAATAAAGCTTTTCCCTTTTTATTGATTCTGTTGCACTGGACTAAATGTCAATACAACAACAGGGATGGAGAAACATCCCATATCTTAAGTCTCCCTGTGATCTGTGTATGAATAGTGTTTTATCAATCAAGTGTGTGAAGTTTCAAGATCACAGAGATTGTGTATGAAGATTTGCAAGCCCATGCAATAAAGCAGAGTTGGGACAAAGACCAACAAGTCCCAAGCCCAGTCCATGTCCCTCACTTTGTGTTTCATGCCCTAACAAGTTATCATGTTCCTTCACCAAACTGATCACATTTAGATGTAAATAATACATGTTTTTTGACTCTACATCTATAACGGTTAAACTGAAGTAAAACTCAAATATTTAATCCAGATCTAGAATTTCTTTTTGTTGAGAAGACAGAAACAGTTTAGTGTTGCAGACTAAATATTGTTCACAACCCACAGTTTCACACAGAGAGACCCACATGCACTAAGATGCGCCACCAGAGCAGCTGTATAGACAATGCTCGGGGACCAACACACACAGACATCATTCTCTCTTTAAAGTTGAGTCGCAAGTCTTTTGTCAAGTTGAATCAAGTCATCATCCACACCTCTGCAATAAACTATCAATGAAATATCATGTGCTTGCATAGCCACTTGCATGACCACTGTCACCTGTGGTTGTGTGCTCCTGCAGCGTGGAGGCCCTGGGTGGAGCGTGAAGTGGGGTCGGTGCTGAGCTGGGGCCGGGCCCGGCGATCGGGGCCACAGACAGGGGAGCAGGCAGGGAGGCTTTCAGCGGGGGAGGGAGTGAAGCTTTCAGGGTAGCCGGTGGTTTCAGGGAGTTTTTAGAGCTGCTAGGGCTGCTGTCTGGGCTCTCCTCTATGTTCACTGTTTTACTCTTCACACAGGAGGAGGAGGAGGAGGAAGAGGAGGAGGAGGAGCCGCCCTGAGCAGCCGGACGCACCACTGAGAGCAGACAGGAAGTCCACGGTTAGAGATTGTACTGTATTCCTTTCTTTTTCTGCTGCGATATAGGCCTACCTATTTTTTTTTACACCCCTTACAATGAAGAAGGGCATGCGACCCCTAATGGGGGAACAAATATTTCTTCATCTTTCTACATACTGAATGCGAGGTGGTTTATTAACTTTCTCTGCTCTTTTGTTTATCATTTAAAAACCCAGAAATCAAAGACTGGAATCACAATTCAATGTACATACTGCCGATCAGTTTAAAAGTTCACAACCTGCTGACTGACCTTTACCTGTCCCTGGACGGGACCCTCTCAGAGGGGTGTGGTCAGGGGCCTCCTCCAGGGTCATTGAGCGAATCACAGTCTCGCAAACAAACTGAGTCCCGCTGATGTCATCCTCCCCTTCTTCCTGAGCCGGGACTCCGCCCCCTTCTGCTCCTGACCCCGCCCCATGAGGGACATCTGAGGACCAGAAAGAGGTGAACAAATGTTACGTACAGACCAGGGGCCTCACTCATCAGTGTGTGTGCAGATTTCTGCAAATGTACACTGAGAACTATTGCTGATTCCATTCATTTACCAATCTATCAACTAAACACCATCAAGAACCTTAAAAAAGTATGAATAGGAAACTCCATTACCCATGATGCTGTTGATAACCTCAGTCTCTTCCTGGATGAGACCCAAAGAGGGACTGCTCTTGTCCTGCAGGTGGCCATCTTGAGGCAGAGGGGACATGCACGGGGTCATGTCTGACAGAGAAAAGACGACATAGACGGGAACTTACTGAAACAGCTATGGAATGTGTGTCAGTGGAGCATATCATCGTCCCAGAGTCTGTTTTCCACTCACAGCATGAAGCTCTCAATGTTCCTGAACCAACCTGCAACAACTAGAACTCTTCTTACCAGCAGGGGTGTTGTTTGGGACACTCTCCAACTCTTGGACGATGTTGATGTCCAACAGCTCAAAGGACAGGAGATCCTGAGAGAGCAGCAACAACAGACAGCTGATTAAAGATGCTTTGAGCTGCATTATGGGAAATGTGGGAGGCAGTGTTTTGGGAGTTTGCTAGCGATTAAAAGTCAGGGTAACTCTGTCTGCCTCTGCTGCTTTGATTGTGACTGCTGTCATTTCCCCACATTTATGGAGGTGCGCACTAAATCACTGGATATATATCCCTTTAAGTCATTTATCAAGAAGAATCAAGGATTTACTGCCTTTCTTTGTTTTATCAGGTCGCCTTCTATGGAGGCTGCCATGTTGAACCAGCATTTTTCTACCGTAACCCAGAAAGGACAAACTAAACACTGACCCTAGATGGGGCCTTTCACGTTTTTGGGTGCTCGTGCTTGGAAGGGGAGGGTGAAGCAAGGGAGTTGCACTGTTGCAACTACACCACTAAATGCTACTTAATCCTACACACTGGTCCTTTAAATATATTTAGTTAATAATACATCTGTACTTTTACCGAGTGAAATGTGTTTCTAATTAGGAGGCGATCATTTTGGGATACACATAATCTTCATCTGATTTGAAATCAGTACGGGGGAGAAAAAGATAGCAGGTCAGTGTATTTTGTGGCCAACAGATTTTCATTTTGAAATAGGAAATTAAAAAACATTCACAGACTACAATTTATTCAGTACAAAAAATGGGAAACGGCTCATTTTCTCATTTCAAAATAGGGGTGGGCGGTACACCGGTGTCATAGTCATCACCGGTGTGACATTGTGCCACGACATGGATTTTGCAATACCGTCAATACCGTGATAAATCAATTGTGCGCCTTAAACGGCTGCATTTACATCAATAATAGCCTAATTCTAAATAATAAGGCATTACATTTACTTCAAACGTTCAGTTGTGGTCTGAATACCCGTCCTTATATTCTATATATCTTGTTGCAAATAAAAAAGTAAAACATATTCGTATCAGCTTTGCAGGTGGTAAAAAGGGAGTGGCCATTAAATTAGCGTAATAAGCAATTAACCTGGGTAATCCATAAAGAAACGACTGGTGAAACATCGCGAAGAAAGGTCGGGCCTGTAGCCTATATTATCTGACAAGAGATGAGTGGAGTGTCGGAACCAGACGGAGAGACCGAGGCCGCTGGAAAGGAAACTCTCGTTCCAAAAAGAGGAGGCACCTCCGTTATTTGGAACTGGTTCAGTTTTAAATCATCCGACACAGAGCAAACTTCAGTAATATGCAACGTTTGCAGCTGTGTTGTGACAGCAAGAGGTGGAAACACAAGCAACCTGTTTCATCATTTAAAAAACACGCACGCCCATGAATATGACGAGGCAACCCGGGCCAAAACGAGCGCAAGTGGGACAGGCAGCACCAGCGGAGCACGTCCCAAGACTAGACAGCTTTCACTGCAGGCATCGTTTACTGCTGCTACACCTTACGACAAGAGTAGTAAGAAATGGAAAGATATTACCAGGGCAATTGCGCTATATATCGCAAAGGGCATGGTGCCCATTCAAACCATAGAGAGAGATGGCTTCAGATATGTGGTTCACACTCTGGACTCAAGATACGAGCTGCCTGGTCGGAAATTGTTTAGCCAGAAGTGTCTGCCAGAGCTGTACACGGAGGTACGGGACAGAGTCATGAACGAAATTCGCCACCTTGAAGCCTACTCGGCCACTACTGATTTATGGTCCAGCCGGACTACTGAGCCATACATTAGCCTCACCATCCACTTCATTGACGATGACTGGAAGTTGCGCAGCAGATGCCTACAGACCGCCCTTTTCCCCGAAGACCACACCGGAGCAATAATTGCGTTAGGACTGAAGGATGGTGTGCATGACAACTGACAGCGGTGCAAACATGGTGCGCGCTCTGGAAATCAATAAATGGACGAGACTCGCATGTTTTGGACACAGACTGCACAACGCTATTGGTAAGTTACACTATCTAAACCTAACATTTCATATTCAGAAAATTTGTCAAGTCCTTTTCTGTTTATATTAAAAAAATAAAACAAAAACAAATTTAAGGCCACTACATTAGTATTGTATTGTTCATTGTTAGTATTGTTTAGCCGTGATTCCTCTGGGGACCGGATCAGAAAGTAAAAAAAAACCATAAATATAAAATACAAATATCATCAGATTATATGAAAAATATTATTAAAAATATGTACAATATATATGTGTTTAAAATGAAAAAACTGTACTATTTGTGCAGGCATGTGCAAAATATTGACCAACATACATACAATATGTAGGCCTATTAGATTTGTAATAGCCTAATGTTCAGTGTGTCCATACAATAAATGCTTATGCTGCTCTACAGCTAATGGTTTATTAAGTTTTTCAACTATGATAACCTACTTTTCCACTTATGCTAATATATTTATTCGTTCTTTTTACTTCCCAGAGAGGAGTGTCCAACATGATGCTCGAGTTGCACGGGCCATAGGTATGTACAAAAAAGTGGTCAGCACATTCTCCTACAGCTGGAAAAAGAAGAAGGCCCTGACCAGTGCACAGAGAGAGCTGAACCTGCCCCCCCACAAGCTGGTCACAGAATCCCCAACAAGGTGGGGGTCAGGTGTCAAAATGATGGAAAGGGTGTTGGAGCAGGAGAAGGCCATCACTCAAGTCCTGGCAGCAGACATTGAGGTGTTGGAGGCCATAACCAAAGCACTGAAGCCTCTGCAAGATTTTACAGATGCCCTGTCAGGAGAGGAGTATGTTAGTGTCTCCTATGTTAAGCCAGTCCTCCATCTACTCAATTCAAACATTTTGAAGCCAGTAGAAGACAAAGCAGGACTGTGCGAGGACATCAAGAAGAGAGTCCTGGATTATTTGAATGAAAAATACAAAGATCCTGCCACTGACGAGCTGCTCACCATGGCAACATTCCTGGACCCACGGTTCAAGACCACCTACATGTCACCTGAAAAGTTGGAGGAAGTGAGGAGCAGAGTAGCTACAGAAACCAAAGCACTGGAGGAGAAGACAGCCACAGATGTGTCTTCCACAGAGGACCAAAGCGAGAGGGAAACTAGCACTGCTCCTGCACAACTGAAAAAGCCCAAGAACAGCTTGGGCAGTTTCTTCAAAAAGTGTAGCAGTGCACCACCAAAGCAGCAGGGCATTGACATGGAGCTAGATGGCTACCTGCTGATGGTGACGGCTGACAGTGACTCTGATCCACTGGAGTGGTGGCGTCTCCAATGTTCCCACTACCCCGCATTAGCCGTCTGGCAAAAAAATACTTATGCATCCCAGCCACAAGCTCACCCTCCGAGCGTGCATTCAGCACAGGGGGCAATATTGTAACAAGCTCCAGGGCATCACTGAAGCCAGAAAATGTTGACAGGCTGGTGTTCATGGCAAAGAACTTGAATGTCTAGTTTCATCAGAGTTCAGATGAAGAGAGAGTTAGTTTTTGTGAAAAGTACACATTATTACACTGTTCTTGTGTTATTACACTGCTAATTTTTGTTTTGTTGTACACTGTTAAGTAAGATCTTTAGGTTTTTTGCAAAATAAATATGTTGAGAATGCATAATACTCTCCCATGTCTCTTTTTGATAAGGATACCTACCATTTACTTATTATATTATAAAAATATTAACTTTATTCACATAAAGGGACAGGACAGGCTACTCCTCCCAAAACGTACCAAAAAAAAAGTAATACCGTGATATTAGACCGTCACAGTTCAAAAGATGAAAAATACCGTGATATTAATTTTAGGTCATATCGCCCACCCCTATTTCAAAACAAAAATCAATTGGCACAAGTACACTGACCTTGATGCATCCCTGGAAAATAAACCTTTGTTGCAGCCTTAGTGCGCAGTGTACAGCAGTGTAATGATTATTACCTGTGCAGTGAGCAGGTCCACAGAGGGGATGTAGTATTCTTCTTGGTCCACTGACATTAATGGTTGCTCCCTAGAAGTTGCACAGGCTTTTCCATCCTTTGCCACTGGGTTCTTACCCTGCACACAAATCAAATCATTTCAGTTAGATCCTGTATCCCACATCAGAATCCTCTGTGTGTGTGTGTTTATATATCAGTGTGTATTTTAGTTGATTTATTCACACATTTAGTCACACCATTGCTTCTACCTGCGGTGTGACACAGGGTGACACTAGTATCCCATCAGCCATCATTGGTGCTGGGGCCAGAGGATCGACCACAATGCTGCACCAGACCCTGGGTCCAAACTGCTCTCCGGCGTGGGCTAGACGCCAGTGGGAGGTGTAGGAGCCCTCCACAGTGGGAGCACACAGCGCTACGCTCACTATACCAACCTGGATACACAGAAAGAATCATCAGCAGTGCAAATGACAGAACAGTGAGGTGTTGACCATATCTGTGTGACTCTGTGACTCAAAGGGGAAATAAGAAGGATGAGCTAGCTGACAAGTTCAGTACCTTTCCAACGATAAGTGAAAGTGAAAACCTCCCTTGTGTCGCAGTCTCACCTGTCCTGGCTGGAGGAAGGGAACAGACACTTCTCTCCAACGGTCCCCAGATCCCACCGCCAGGTTTCCCCACATGAACTTCAGCTGCAGGAAGCAAACAGGGCAAAATCTGATTAACAGTGGTATCTTATTTAACCACAGTATACCGTATTTAATGTTAATATACAAGTGGTGTCACAAAGAATTATCACTAACTTTGCACCTTTCAGCTCACTGTGCTGGTTTTACTGCCTGCAACTTTACTGCTTTGATTCTCTCTGAGAAACCCAGCGCACACTACCGGCTTAGCACCAAACAGCAGACAGACACAGTTAGAGACTTTCTGGTGAGGTTAAAAAATAGAGCTAAAAGGAGAGCGAATATTGGAACAACAGGGTGTTTACTAAGACTACAGATATAAATGAGCCAAGCCACAGTTTATCTGATATGCATTAACTGACCCTTAGAAAGACCTGATGCTGGCACAGTGAGCTAAATGCTAATGTTAGCATGCTAACATGTTAGTGACAACGCTTTACCACATGCTGATGTTTAGCAGGTTTACAATCTTCACCACCTTACTTTAACATGGTGTTGGCATGCTAACATTTGCTAAGCAGCACTGCAAATAAAGTACAGCTGAGGCTGATGGGAATGTCATTCATTTTGCGGGTATTTGGCAAGGATCCTCGGTAAGGATTGCCCGCATGCCTGGGTCAAGTAAAATGCTACTTCAGGCCATTAAATCTAGCCGTTCACTTGCCCAATCTAATGATAACGGAAGTAGCTAAGGCGGAGTTCTCATCTCTGTTAAAAATTGCTCGTGCTCAGTCCCGATCGGGAATCTGCATAGAAATGGCAGCAGTACATATGAAGTTTATGAGTTGAAGCACAAGCGAGCCTTTCAGTTATCCTGGAAACAGCAGTTTAGTTGGGCGATGTTAGAGGATGTGGACAAAACTCCAAAACTGTATTACACAGTTTTGCTCTCAAGAAGATACATTTAAATGAAAAAGGAGTTATTTACCTTAGTATCAGCACTCCAGCTGATTGTTCCAGTGTTCCTCATCTTCCAGTACTTGATAAACTTGGTCCCCGGACGGAGTCGGGTTCCATCAGGAAGGTTCTCATCCAGAAATGCAGCTGTCATGGCTGGAACCACCAGGGGACAAGGACGTTTTGGACGCCTGGGAAAGAAAGAAATAGTCCTACATAAGTCCTTTAGTCATCTTGTGTTTTTCTTTCAAAGATGTTTTTACCAATTTCAGATCAGGTTTGATCAGTTGTTGCACCTCCCAGCAGATTTACATGATTATATCTTTGAAATGAGCTTCTGGCATTACCTATAACAGTGGTTCCCAACCTTGTTGTCAGTTGTGCCCACACAGCCCTATCAGATGGACTCAAGTACCTCCACCACCATTTTTCAACCATTTATCCATGTTACTTTTAGCAATTTATTTAAGCTTTTTATCTATTATTTGGATCTATTTTACCAATTTAAAGGGTAACTTTAGTACTTTTCAACCTGGAACCTATTTCCCAATGTTTTTGTGTCTAGGTAACTAATGTGGACAACCATTTTTGAAACTGGTTCAGTATTGAGCGAGAGCTCTTCCGCTGCAAACTGACTGCCACGTAATGGTCAACTGTTCACTGTCAGTGTAAGTCCATTAAATGTGGTTGTTTTTGCTGTTTACAGGCTCAGATTGTTACTCTAAGTGTCTGACAGCATTATGGATCCTACAGAACCTTTTTGTTTAACCAGAAACAGCAGCTATATTGCTGAGTTCAAAACCACCAGACTCCATTAAGAAAAACTGTAATTTTACCTACTTTACCTCAAACTTCACAGAAACAAAAGCTTTTCATTGAAACAACAATCCTCGAAAAGAAGAAAAACCGGAGGACTTCCGGTGGCGCTGAAGCCCATCTTTAACACTGGGCTTCAAAAGAAAAGTGTTATTAACCCCCATGTAAAGTGGATGACTTACTACTGCACTCTAGTATAGTTTTTCTGTTTCTACCTAAATCTACCTAAATTGGAATTATATAGGCCTACTTAAGGTGATAACACCTATGCTTTTGGGTTTTTGATTTTTGCCTACTTACTATGAGAGTTTAAGTAATTCCTCAAACTTACCTATGTTGCATTTTTGTACCTAAAAAGAAATTGCTTTGCAATTTAATTTTCAGTCTACTAAGAAATTAAATTTTATTTCCTGAAAGTGCTTATCCCTATCCTTATACCTGAGAAGACAATACTTATGTTTCTCAACTCTCTGCCAATTTACAAAGAGACTTAATATTATTATTTACTGAGCTTGATAAGATGGAACTTTATACCGGTTATGGGGAAACTGACTTGAAAATGTTACCGGTGCGGACTAGTATCTTCTTTGATACCAACAAGAGGCCCCCAACGGATGCGAGGATCTCCTCTCAACTTGAGGTTTTATTTGAACTTCGGACTTGGAAGTCTTTGGTTTGTGTTTTTCTGTTTTGTTGTTCATTGTCCTTGTTTGGGCTATCTAGTGCGCACTAGATACTATCTAGTGCGCACACATGGCTAATTTTAATATTCAAATGAGTATTAAACTAATTTGTCTGTAACTAAAAAATAAATGTAAATCAATCTGTAACCTTTTTTGTTACAGTCCGCATTTAAATGCCCTGTCCTGCAGCCAGACACTCATTTGTCCTCCATACATCTGTCTTCTTTAGAACATGAAAAATTTAAAAAACTTGGATTTCAAAATACATATTACTAATCTCATAAATCAGGCCGTAGGAGGGGAGTGGCTATACTGATCGCTAATGCAGTAAATTTTGAATTCATTTCAGAAGTGAAAGATAGGGAAGGGAGATATGTTTTAGTAAAGGGCAAATTAGACAATGAAGAAGTAACTTTACTTAATGTGTATGCCCCCCCAGGGAGCAAAAAAATGTTTATCAAGAAATTATTTGAATTGATAGTCTTGGAAACACAGGGAATTAAAATTTATGGTGGCGAGCTTAATGTCCAACTTCAACCTAAATTAGATACATCTAATCAGCGCCAAAAGATAAGTCCAAATGCCATTTTAGTCCAGCGGATGCTTGCAGAGCTGGGTCTGATTGACGTGTGGAGAGAGTCCCACCCAGGAGAAAAACAATTCACCTATTATTCCCCATGTCACTCTGTATATTCACAAATTGATTATTTATTTATATATAAATCAGACTGGCACAGAGTCAGGGACTGTAAGATAGGGATTAGGGACGTATCTGATCATTCAGGGGTGTACCTAACTCTGCACCTAACTAATCAAGGCAAAAATACACTCTGGAGACTGAATACGAGCATTCTAAATGACAAAACAGTACAGAAACAGATGCAACAGGAATTTGAAACATATTTTAAAAATAATGATAATGGAGAAGTGTCTCCAAATACTTTATGGGACGCAGCAAAGGCAGTCGTTCGAGGTAAAATTATTGCCCTCACGGCTTTTCGGAAAAAGGAAAAACAGAGAAGACTGGTTGAAGAGGAAATGAAGTCATTAGAAATTACATACTGACCAAAAGACCCTCAGATATTAACTAGAATAAACAAAATTAAACAAGACATAAATGGTATATATGATGAGGAAATTGAAAAACAACTTAAATTTTAAAGGTATTATGAGACGGGGGCCTAGGGCTATGAAATTACTTTCCTGGAGGATACGAAAACAACAGGGAAAGAATACAATTTATAAGATCAGGAACCCCAAGACACAAAAGGTTTGCAGTGAATCGGAAGATATTCAACATGCTTTTGAACTATATTATAAAGACCTATATAACCAACCGGCCATGGCAGATATTACAACAATAGAGTCTTTTCTAAGTTCACTAGACCTACCATCTATAGGAGAACAACAAAATAAAGAAATTATGGCTGAGATAACAGCAGAAGAACTGAATAAAGTTAAAAATTTCAAGATTGAAAGCTAATAAGGCTCCGGGTTCAGATGGATATCCGTCCGAGTGGTATAAAACATTTAAACTTCAAATAACACCTGTTCTGCTTAACTGTTTTAACCATGTTTTAACCACACTGAGAACAGGGGAAACCCCTCCGATCATGGAAGGAGGCAGTTATCTCTATCATCCCAAAAGAAGGAAAAGATAAAAAGGAATGCAGCTCATACAGACCAATATCAGTCTTGAATGTAGACTATAAATTATTTACGTCAATCCCATCTAAGAGACTGGAACTCATTGTCCCGGAGCTGGTAGATTTAGATCAAACAGGCTTTGTATTAAATAGACAGACACAGGATAATTTAAGGAGAACACTACAAGTGATGAGTCATATTACATCAGAAAACATCAGTGCAATGTTGCTCAGCCTAGACTTGCAAGATTCGGCTTCAAAGACGGCTTTATTAAATGTATTAGAGCGTTATACTTTTCTCAAACAGCCAGGATCAGGGTCAATGGACACCTGTCGCAAACTATTTATTTGGAAAGAGGGACACGCCAGGGCTGTCCCCTGAGTCCGACCCTATTCGCGCTATTTATTGAACCTTTGGCTCAAGCAATTAGAGAGGACTCTGAGATAAAGGGGATTATGATTAGAGGAGAAGAACATAAGACCTGATGATGTTCTGCATTTTATTACAAGCCCAGACTCAAGCATCCCTAAATTGATGTCCCTACTAAATAAATATAATTCATATTCTAGATATAAGCTAAATATTCAAATAACGCAAACCCTTACATTTAACTATACTCTCCACCCAGATACAAAAGGGAAATATAAATTCAAATGGGACTCGCCTAAAATAAAATATTTAGGAATAAACCTTACTAAAGATATGTCAAAACTTTTTGAAAACAATTATGGCCTCATTAATAAAGAGATCAAATCTGACATCTCTAGAAGGTGGACCCTCCTCCCACTAGATATGAGTAATAGAATAGAAATAATTAAAATGAACAAAAAAAGACAATAAAAAGTTGGTCTCAAGAATACACGGAAGTATACAAGCCTCTAAAAATCATTCTACGTTATCCATTAAACAAAAATGGGAGAGAAACACAAATATCAGAAGAGATCTGGATGGAAATATGTGAGACACAAGCGACCACTGCAAACTCAAGATCACTGAGAGAGTTCGGCTGGAAGAATATAGTGTGATTTTTTATAACTCCTAAAATATCAGCACTGCAAACAGGCACACAGAGCCGAGGCTTCTGTTTGAGACAATGTGGAACTTCTATGGCCAATCACTTTCCTGTCCAAAAATCCAGTCATCATCCGAGATAAATAAAATAATTGGGTTGGATTTAGATTTTTCTTTTGTTACTTTATATCTCGGTAAAATACCGGAAACAGCCCTACAGAAGGATAAATACTTATTGAAGATACTCTTGGCAAGTTGTAGGAAAGCTATAACTAGGAAATTGTTGCAACTAGACCCTCCAACATTGGACCAGTGGCATGGGATCATCCAAGAAATTTACTGTATGGAGAGACTTACTTTTGTATTAAGGCTTCAGTTGGAGAAATGTACTGAACGCTGGGAAAAATGGATTGTGTATGCACCTTGAATAATGTGACATTATACCATGATGTATGTGTAAAAGAATACTTTGATTTTAACTGTAACACCCATTATGAACTCATATTCTTTGTACAAGTTCTTTGTACATGTATGTAAATAAATAAATTTAAAAAAAAAGTTAAAAAATAAAAATAAAAAAAGAATCAACAATCCTCAACTGTCGTTTGGTCCAGGTTGAAAAATACTGAAGTAAATTTAAAGCTAACGTTATTAAATGTTTATCCATTAATTTTAGCTATCTATTTTAACTATTTATCAATTTTTTGCTGTTTTATCTGTTACTTTATCTAGTATGTACTCCAACATAAATAATTTGGACTATGTCTTTTTTTCTTTTGGTAACTTACTCAGGGCTGCTGTGCTGGGTGGCTCTAGGCTGCAGAAGGACAGGGGAGGAGCTTCCATCTCTGTGGGAGGAGCTCCACTGTATGCCCCGCCTCTCCATCCTCAGCTGTTTCCGGATCTCTTTGACCTCTGCCTTCAGCAGGCGCTTCTCTGCTTTCAGCCGCTGCTTCTCCGCCTTCCGGAAACTGCGGTCCCCTCGCCTGTAGAACCTGAAAGAGAGCCAGAGTGTGCCTAACATAACTCCTTTAAAACATAAACTGTTCAATCACTACAACCTCCCTCCACCAAGCCTCAAAGTCCAGTCTCTAAACACTTCACTCAATAGTGACTCCTGGCTTTCTTTGCTAAAACTGGGTGGAAACAATTAGAGGTGGAAAAAACCTGCATTGTAGAGCCAATCCAAAGTATTTAGGGTGGTGACATGGCATTGTTCAGGATATCCATTTTCAATGTTTTAAATAAGGGTGCTCCAATCAGGAGTTTTGGGGCCGATCATTGGAAGAAGAATCGGCCGATACCGATCACCAGGTCTATTTAAAGTCTTCTGGTTATCGTGTAGCCTAATTTATTTAACAGTCTTTAACAACTTAAACTAAAATTAAGGGTCCAGTGTGTAAAAATTAGGAGAAGGTATTGTCAGAAATTAAACCAACCTGAAGTTGTAAATCTTATTGCTTATGTGTTAAATGAAGTAAGTCTTGAATATAGTAATGATTTATTATGTTAAAACTTTTGGTCCCCTTCATGTCAAAACACAGACAAATGAAGGTCTGTTTGAAAAGTAAATTGCTCTGGCTTTTCTTAAATATTATATATAATATATACAAAAATAGAAAATATTTCACATTAAAAAATATGAAAAATGAAAGCAGTCTTGAAGTAGATCTAAAAACAAAATTGTGGAGTCGTACCTGCTGTGGTCTGGGGCGGGCGATCCGTGCTCTGGGATGGACAGAGGAGTCCTGGCTCTCACCAGGTTGTGACTGGGATCGTGTGAGAAACTGCAGGGTTCGCACAGAGTACAGGAGGTACACACACTGAGCAGAGAGGAGAGGGTGGAGAGAGGTAGAAAATCACAGAGAGAAACGAAAGAGAGAGAGAGGTGAGCGAACGGGTAATTCCAACTGAAGAAGTGACATCATGATTTATGAATACAAAATCTAAATTTGAACCCTTCAGACTCCACAACACCGTCCATTGAGACAAGCTGAGGACTGTTTGTGACTGTGAAATTCAACATGTTTCTATGAAGCAGAGACACTCCTCTTCTCTCTGTCCTTTTTCTTTCATTCTCTCAAAAAGTAGATTTCAGTTTCCCAGTGTGCCTAACAGACTTGGTACAGCTTGTAAAATGTCAGTATTACTCATATGTAAGTGATACTAGAGATATACTAGACTATCTGTATTGAAATTAGTAAATAATTGGTAAAAGGTTTAAAAATATATATATATATAATAAAAATGCTTCAGTGGACTATAAGGTTAAAAGGAATAGCTCATAATTTTGGGGAAATTTGCTTTCTGAGTGTAAGATGAGAAGATGGAAGTAAGGGGAACTCCTCCAACTTTCCCCATCAAAGTGTTTCCAGCAGTTGGGTAGCCTTTAGTGTCTCCTGAGGGAGCTGTTTGAAGTATTGTCCTCAAGTGATGGCACTTCAGTCTGTGCAATCTTTTATAAAATATACTATATATTTTGGGTCTTTTATTGCCTTTAATGGATAGTGACAGGAAAGAGGGGAGATAGAGAGGGGGTTACACGCCATTGAAGGGCCACAGGTTGGAGTTGAACCGCTGCCCCAAGGACTCAGCCTTGGTACAAATGGGGCGCCACCTCTAACAGGTGAGCTACCAGGACACCCCCAGTCGGTTAAGTGGAGGATGAGGAGCAATCAACTTATCTAAATGTTCTATTGAAAATAGCACTTCAAATAATAGTTCCTGTCAGTGACACACACAGCAGGTCCTGCAGATGTTTCACATTAAAAGCCTACAAGCTAAAAGAGGCTTTATCACCGGATGTGGAACAGAGTCATTGTTTGGCAAGTCACAAGTAAGTCTCAGGTCAGTCCCAAGTCCTTTGAGTCCTTAACAAGTCATGATGCGTTATTTGTACATCTTTTAAAACAAGTGCTGAACTTAATCATAAGGCTGCCAAGATGCTCCCTAGCATATAACACTATTAACCAGTAACAGAATTCATTTAGTATGTTTCTGTCCTGACTGTTGTATTTAGTTGATTTAGGAAATTAAGGGAAATACTTTTTAATTTTTTGGCCTGGTGGAAGATATCACGTATTTTCAAGTCAAAAGTCCAAGTGAAGTCACAAGTCACAAGTCTAAGTCGAATCTAGTTGCAAGTCTTTGTTGATTTTCTTAAATAGTCATCAAATTTGTGACTCGAGTCTGAGATGTCCACCAGAAATGTAAAAATAAATCTTGTTGTATGGACAAACAGACGCAGACAGACAGACTGAATAAATGATAACATACATGAAGCATGTGACTTAAACATCACTCAAGCTTCCAGTGAAGAGCAGAAAACATCGGATTTGTGTGGAGTGATGAGGAGGCAGTAACCTTCCTCACATTAATACAGACAGAAACATTCTGTCAAAAACATTGACTGGTTTCTCTTCTTGGTTTAATGGCTCTCAACAGGAGAATTAGCTCCATTAACCAACTCCTCATATTCAAATACCAATAGTGGATGGAAACTCACCTTAATTTGCATTTTCCTTTGCTGATTTTCTTGAAATTTGGTTAAAATATGCTCTATATATGGATGGAAACGTGACTATTGAGGGTAGCTGAAAAAGGATTCCAGAAAATGAATTAGCGCTGCAATAAAGCAGTTAGCTGCAGAACACACATACCTGCACTGGTAGCCTCCTCCGGTGGTTTGCCCCCTGCAGGAGGAGCAGGGAGGAGTGGAGCAGGATGGAGCTCCAGGCAGGGTGGAGGAGGAAACCTCCGGGACCTGCTGGGCCTCCGCTCCTCCTACTGCTGCTGCCTCCCCTCTGCCTCCCCCTCCTCCTCCTCCTGCTGCTCCTCCTCCTGCTCCTCCCAGGGGCTTGTGGATGCAGCACTGTCCAGAGAACTCCCGGCAGATCTTCTCCACCGCCTCGCGAACCACCTGGTCCTTAAACTGTAGGGATGAAAGGGCGGAGAGGGGTGTTACATCTGTTTCGGTGCTTACTCATCAGTCCATGTCTCAGTCAGTCGCTCCTGCGGTAGTTTCATGTAGCCAGGCCTTTCTCCACTCTTTGTTTTAGTGCTGTGTCAGCCCTGCAGAAGGGGTCCGGCTGAATCCAGTATCATTCAATAAAACACGCTGGCTTTTATGCATTTCTCTAAACCAATCACAATCGTGCTAAACCTAGGTTGCAGCCACGGTGCGCCTGACATTAAAAGGGCTAAATCCCCACAGAAGAAAAGGCAACTGTTAACTTGTTTATGTTTGTACTACTCCTGTACAATGAATATTATACATTTTATTATATAATTACATTGCAAAAAATTCAATTAGTGAAAATTAATTAAATGAATTAAATATTCAGTTGTGGGCGAAAAAAGCAGCGCTAGCCTTGCGAGCTAGGTCACTTTCACTGATTGAAAAAGAAATGTAGGTCAAGAGAATAATTCAACAACAACTACTAATGATGGCAGAAAGTTTACAACCCAACTTAGCCACAGAGAGAGTGATTTGCTCTCTGATCAATCTAAAAAAAAAAAAAAAAAACGTTTTGGAATGTATTCAGTATCCAAAAATCATAATAGGAGCTACATTGGCTACTGGGGGCTGGATAACTACAGCAGCTAACAATTTAGCTTCCAATGGTGCGGAACCGTGCTTTCAAATTCGAGCCTCACACCCACCACGGCAAATAAACTATATTTATTACATGTACCATTATCACTAAAGGAGGCAGAGGACTAGCTAAATGTTTAACACACAGGGCAACAAAAAGCAGGACAGCGAGAGAGAGAAGCCATCGCTAACTGCTAGGCTAAAGTGCTGTAGCTAGCAGAACTGAATAGCGTGTAAACAACTGTGGGATTAAGGACAAAGTCGCTAAACATAGAGAGCCACGACTGCGTAAGTGGAACTAGTGTTCATTTCGATGTATAGCGGGTAATTATCCGCTCTAATGAAGAATATAACAAATTTAACTGGGTTGAGCTAAAGCAGCAAAACTTCGCAACCAGCAACACAGAAGTTCTCAACTGACGTATGATATACTGAAATGATACACTTTCAGGGGGGGGGTCATGTCTTTTGGTCAGTTTGGTCATAGATGTTATATACACCTGTGTCAGACATTTTTGGCTACAAATTTTGACAGCACTAATTCGTAGCGTTAGCAACCAGGTTAGGGTACCTTGCCATGTTCAGCATTTAGGTTGTTAGCTCGGACTGTGTTGTTGTATGACGTAGCATCAAGGAGGACTTGAAAGCGGTATCAGGAAGATTGCGGAAGAGGGGGAGAATGGCGACCGAAATAGTCGCCCAATGGCAGTCTTCTACCAACCTAAGTTGTGCTTCAGGACACCTGTCACCTCCATCTGGTTGTTCTTACCTTCTCCATGTAAGAGGTGAACCAGGCGGGAGGAGTCTTGTCTTCTTCTTTGGTTCCCTTCACTTCTTTTAGGATCACCTGATCAACAGAAGAAGAGAATATTTATTACGTAAACTAAATTAGTCGTATATTCAGTGTGGTTAGTTAGCTGTTATTCTTGACATTTAACCTCCATTTATATACTTTGAATGTTTCCTACTGTTCCTCCCTATAAGCGATGGTAAGATTCACAAGTTAGCATCAGTGAATAAACATAAAGTTAAAGAGAGTAGAAGCATTTTTGGTCCTAAATTCCCTTTTAACACGATTACTATGAATAACTCTGAGATGCTTGATAAACACGGGCTCTTTCCAAGAACCTGCTAAACTAACCTGACAAAATATGTAACTGTTTATAGAAATACGGCTGATGCTGTAGCACTGGGAGAAAGCAAACCAACCAAGGAATAAGAGCTCTGCCTGACCAAGGCCCGCCAGTCTCCTACATGCTGGTTTCCCACATCTGTATGTTTCCTCTCTCCTTGTCAGTTATGCTCTCCTAGACAAAACTTGCACAAATCAATGCTTTTAAGCTGTTATACTGGGCTGAGGTGAGCTCAGCCATAAAATATCAATCAATAGGCCTTCACGCTGCTATTTCTTTGCTTTTTAAAACTATGGTTAAATGAAAACACTAGACTTCTTCTTTCTAATCACTACAAATACTTGAATAGAAAAAAGAGGTAAGGATGCCAACATTAGCATGAATGTTAGGACAAAGAAATATGTGCAACCATTTACATTTTTATTATGGTTTCTGAGGCACTGAGTCTGGGTTTGTGTATAAGGAAATTATGACAATTCGTGTTTGTCTGTAACGCTTTGACTTGACAAAGAGTCTGGGTGAATCTGGCTGAAATGAACACTTTATGACAAGGATTTATGGGTAAGAGAATCTGGTGAATCTGACTTGGTGTCTTACCATGCCCTGTTCTGGCACCGCAGCCTGGACTTTCCGGCTGACCACCTGGGCCAGAGCGGGGCAGTGCTGTGGAGGTCTGAAGCCCCTCTTGGGCTCTGTTCCGCTGGCTTTAGTGGTGGGGACCCTTGCTGGCTGACCCCGAGTCTCGTACACGTTCATGTGCAGTCGGTTCCCCTGCCTTGCTGCACTCTGGGAAACAAGCAAACGGGTTAGTCTCCCTTACTGCCATTTTTGGATCAATTTTGGATCGATGTCTCAACTAAGCTGTTTCTTCCTTCTGATACCAACAAAAATACTTTCCAAGACAACTCCTGAAGCATCACAGCATTTAGCACCTGTGGACAATTACAATCTGTCCAAAATAAAGGTTAACTTACATAACCAACGGCCATACTTTATAACACTGTTATATTCAAATCAAACCAAGAGATTTGTTTGTTTTTACTTTAATTAGGACTGAGGTTACCATTTAAAGTTTACTTTTTAATGTGCACGGAGTTAGGGAGTTAGGCAACCACGGCAGAGCCCGAACGCATCACGGCCGTGTCTGGTGGAATTTGGAGGTAAGACAACACTAAATGTGAATACTAATTCAAACTTTAAATCAACTTACCTTTAATGCCTCCTCATACTCCACTGAAATAAAAGCAGAAACATGAATTATTAACATGACATGAATCTGCACATGCACAAACACTGGTTTTCTTCAGCACACTGTGTCTTATGACTGTTTATGTTTACTTACCTTGGCTGTTAATAGACACCTGAAAGGGAGAAAGAGGAAGAGTCTTTATAAATCTGTCAGCTATGTCACTGTGGTGTCAGTTTGCTGTTGGTTTGGTGATACAGGTTCAGGCATTAAAAGGGGCATTCCACCAATTTTATTCATATGAAGCTCAGTTTACCCATCATGGTTAGTAAAACTCAGCTTGTGAAATTGGTTGTCTCTGGAGGAGCTTCGTCAAGTCTGAGAAAATAACCCTGACGATGTAATTGTGATGTCACCAAGGTTATCTCAGCCTTGGTTTGAAAACTTCAAAATAATACAGACAGTAACTTGGCATCTAACGGGCAGGGAGAAAGACGCCTCTGAGTTGTATTAGGGGAAATGTAGGATCCAGCATTTTTTGCTCAGCAACAATCTACCACCTACCACTTAAGTACAATACAAAATCTAACTCTACAGGCCTTAATACACAGCCAGTCAGAGATGGAGCTGTGCAATATGACAATATATATTGCATGATTCCATTGTTTGATATTATGCTCTATTGTTTATTTCTTTATGTCACAAATCACACTCTTAACAGCAATATTGTTTGTCATTTGGATGACGCTTTGTGTTTTTCCACACTGCACAGATGCAGGCAGGAAATTTGCATGAAGGCAACACAAAAAAACACAGTTGAAGTATGAAAAGTTATGTATTATTTTATTTATTTTCATCATGTAAAGCTTGTTTTTACAAAGGAGATTCCTTAAGACAGAATATTATCAAATTTGGTTTAATGTGCATCTATTGTGGGGGTCCTAGTTTGGGTGCCCCTGGTTTATTAATCATTATTGGTGTAAATGTGAGAACAAGTCGTGATACTGATTGTAGGTGACATTGCTCTGACTCACTGTAAAGTGTACAAACAGCAAATCAGACAAAGCCGGAGCGACAACAAACACTCACCTCCTCGTTCTCCTCATCAAAATAGGTCAGCTGGAGACTGCACAGGCCAAAGGAGCGCTTCACCTGCACGCCACAAACACACAGACAGGAGATCAGATGAGGACGGAGGATGATGGCTCAGCTGTCCTTTTTTAGTTGAGAGACATGAATATAATGGTCTCTATTTCAGTCATTTCAATTAGGTTTCTCTCTCTGTGTGTATGTATGAAAAGGTGACCTCTGAGAAGACTCGATGGCTCGTGTTTAGGGAGTGGGCTCTGTTCACTCTCCTGCTGGCTCTTTACTGGCTGCAGGCTGCACACTTTACCCAGCTGACATTCTCTGTCTCTCTTCAGTATGCTTCCACACGAGCCGATAAGGGCTCATGTTGCATGTGTTATTCTGCAATTCGTGTTGGATGAAAAGCAGGTAACGCCGCTGAGCCTGTACACCAAACCCACTTGCATCTCTCTCAAACAACGACTCAAAGTGAAGTCTGACGTGTGTGACTCAGCAGCACTCAGACAAATGAACTCTCCCGGGCGGCCGAGGCAAACACAGACGGGCCGTAAATCCAAAGCTGCAGGGCTCCGGGACCATATTTCACCTTCTTTCTTCACGCTGGCCATTAACAACGCCACTGATTAAAACAACAGGTCCTCTGGTCTTTCTCCCCTCACAGATCACAGAGGCTCCAGATTCACTCTAGCTCACTGGTACACTATTAGTTGTGCAGTTGTGCAGTCTATCATCAAATGGACTACAACCAACATGTCTGCTGTCTGATATGGGGATACAATTAGGGCTGCACGATATGATTAAAACATCACTCGCAAGATCGTGACACCACAAGATCACGCCAGAGTCCACCTCACCAGCCTTCAGTCTACGCGTCTGTGGCCAAACTACAGCGGTACCAGATCAATCAGAGAGTGGGTGCTAGCTGTGACGCTGCAAGAAGGCACTGTTTGTTAAACGACAATGGCGGCTGCTAATGGAGGCTCTTCTTTGATAAAATGGTTTGTTTAAGGCCTTCTGAGTACCTTTGCATAGTCATATCAGTGCACAAGCCACACAGACGTACAGTATCGGTCTTAAAAATCCCATATCGGTCGGGCTCTACTCAGTTTAGCATTTAGTAAAATGTACCTAATGGGACCAAGACATACATCTGGCAGCCGAAATAAAAGTAGAAAACAAGAAATAATATATGCAGTAGCAGCTAAATGAGAACACAGACTAAAAACTGGTGTCAGAATAATAATGAAAACACAAGTAAAAGTATGTTATCCTTTCATCTGTGCACAGTAATTGCTCTAAAACGGTTGGTTTGGTTTCCAACCACAGGTTCTCTCTACCATATGATGTCCAGGTGGTGAGATTCAGACAACAGTTGGGTGACAGCTCAACAACAGTCCAGCTGCCTGAAATGTGACTTGTGTTGTCCACAGTGACTCATCAGCCACACGGTTCTGAACGACGCAGACACACACTGACACACACGTACTCTGCCTGGCCTCCTCTTTCTTTACCAAGCACTTCTCTGACTGCATGATCACATACAATACCTTTTTGTGAATTGTGTGAACACTTGACAAGCTGTTTGGTTTCCCTGCATTATGGATGTGGTCTGCAGACAAACAATAAGTACAGTATATACAGTTGACATGACAAGTGGCAGCCAAGCTTTACCAAATGAGTTCAGTCTTTTCACTCATATGTATTCAAGAGGTGTAACCCTGCGCACACAAGGGTTAAGACACAAAATGTCCACGGAAAAGATGCTTTCATTCAAGTATCCGACTGACAATTAATGAAGTCATGAGTCCTGCTCTGATGTAATATTATTTTCAAATATAATTTCTTGTCCCCTAATGTGACTATTGACACTACTAAATGAATGAAACCCACAAACGGAGAGGTATTCATCAAGTTGAAACAGGTTTGTGCAATTAAGAGAGTTTGTACAATGTGACAGGGTACACCTGTATGATCAACACTCAAAACAGAAAGCGGTTTAGAAAAAACGAAAACAGGTTCAGGCTAGAAACACTCTTGTTAAGATTTATCCACAGCCAAAAAAAATGTTCTCACCTATCAGCCTATTAAAAGAGTTTGAAGGTGATTGTTACACGTACAATTAACACAGCTGGGCATTTATTAAACAACCACAACGACACATTTGATCATTAATAGGCTGTATGCATGTAGATATGAACATTTACATGGGAGCATTTATCTGTTCCTCGCATCATTAACATGTCACACTGCACAGCTCATCCTACCAACAGTTGAGTTTCAAACTAAATATGCACTCAGGTTAACATAATCTGAGGGAGGAGCTGAAATACAATCAAAAATTATCTAGGACAACTATGACTGGAAAACAAGTCTCTCAATTTCAAGGTTTTCCAGGTTTTCCAGGACAAGTGGGAACCCTGATCCTAAAATATTCTCAATGTTTTTTTGTCCTGGTCCTCTGCAGCTGGTTCTCTCACCAGCTATTCTGACGTGAAACAGTAAACACAGGTGTTACCAATGGTTCTGCTCCTGTCAGCTCAAACAGAGTCAGGGTGCTGCTGTTGAGCAGGTTGGCTCACTGGAAAGCCTCTGCTACACTACTACAACACTACACTAAATGGAACGGAGCCTTCATTAGTATCATTAGTTACACCTGTGTTTACCCTACTATTTCATGTCAAAATGGCTGCTGTGAAAGATGTATTGTACCTATTGTACCTGTAAAAAAAAAAAAAAAAAAAATGCTTCCACATGCTCTGCTGCAGTATTACACTCTAACTTCAGACGCAGACCCCACTGGGCTACATCCTGACTCCAGCCACCGGAGCAGAGGAATGCCTTTCAAATGGTGGCTGTGGGATTCAGACTGCTCAGACCAGTTATGTGTTGCTGGTAAACAGTGTTTCCATGACGACTAACCACTGTAATAATCTTGTAAGGGCTGCGGTGATTCCTCCCTGCTACCGTGCTGCTGTCAGTCTGATGCCACCTTTTCACAGCTCACAGGACGCGAGGTGCATGATGGGCAACAGCATCTCTGTGATCGCATATGTGGAGCCGGCCAGGCTGTTTAACAACAACCCTCCGACGTGGCACACCAGTGGCATCAGTCACAAGCAGCAGCGGCTGTGAATGAGTGAATGAGAGCCGGACAGAAGCACTGTGATCGGAGGTGTCTGACAACGGGCCCCGACGGTTCTCCCCTCTCTTACCATGGCCTCCATCGACTCCCAGCTCTTGGTCTCGGATCCCGACAGGAGGAAATTTTTGGAATTTCCCCTGAAATTCACCTTCAGATTGATGTAGAAGTCCATGGCGTCGCCTGTCCGCGCCTTAACGCATATTACACACGACGGACACGGAGCGTTTTCCCCGACCGACCGAGGCTATTTGGGTTAATCTCACCAATTCGCTTCACTGTGACTTATCCGACGGGGGATGAGGCGTATTTTGTGTTTACATCAGCGTCCTGGACACGCCCACCTTGCACCATGTGTCCGGAAGAGAGATCCCTTCTTCCGCTTGTGCGGGGAAAAAAAAAAAGAGCGTGGCTCAGTGAGTGCGGAGCGGGGAGCGGCCGCTGGAGGGCGGCAGAGCATCAGGTCTGATCATTGTGTGCTCATTGGGTCTGATCATTGGGACTGATCATTGGTCTCCTAGATCTGGTGTTTCTACTCAACCAAAACACTCTGTCACAAGCTGTAGGGTATGATTTTAATAAATGACTCCATTAGACTTTCACCTAACACCAAGAAAAACATGAAACTGTGGGGGTTCAAGTTGCCCCAACGTGGGGGTCGGGACCCACCTTTAGGGGTTGCCAAAGCTCAAAGTTCACTTCTGTGAAATAAATGTAAAGTAAACTGTCTAATAGAACAATGGCCAAGCATCAGGGACGAGAAAACACTGAATTTATATTTTTTAAAAAGCCTATTAAGTCTGTATAATTGCTGAAATATAATAAGAAATACATAACACAGACAGAGAAAAAAAATATTTACACCAACTTCCTGAAGTTATTGTGTTCACTATTTGGGTTTATTGTTTTGAATATAAATAAAATATCCATAAGATATGTCACTTAAGCAGAGGTCGCCAGTTTGCTATGTGATAGAAAAAAGATCGGAGCAGAGGGCAGATCTAGAGGGGTGGCATGGTCTGGCAGCTGCCCCTAAAAACTTCCTGTCCACCCCAGTTTGGAGTCCAATGCTGTCAAATATAAGACAATAATTTAGATTAATTTTAAGAATAACATGTTCAATAATGAAATGAATTGAATGATCTGTTATGGCCACATTTTAGACTAAGTGTTTTATTTTAGTTCAATACATTTTTTAAAAAATGTACTCATATGCCACAATAACACATCACTAGTCAAATCAAAACCTGGTTTTTGTTTGTCCACTGTTCCTGGTTTGTAATCCAGGTTTGTCTGGATATAGACAATGCTAGAAAAAAAGACGTCATAGTCTTCTGACATCAACAGTGAGAAAGTATTGTATTTTTTACAGAATGATGAAATAATGCAATACAAAAAATAAGCCTTCACTTGAATCATGTTTTATTTGCAGAATTAAGGTGAATCAGTTACTTCTAGCTGGGCTCGCTGCGCCTCTGCGACTATGTGTTCATGTAAGACTCCATCATTCATGGTAAGATGCCGCTTGAGGAAATATATTTACAGGACCTTAATTAAAGCTGCAGTAGGTAACTTTTACAAAAGTAACTTTTCGTCACGAGACAGCAAATCTGTGAAAAAAAACAGGTTCCTCTGGTTCCTCCTAGTGCTCCTAATGCAATTTGTAAGAATCCACCGGGCCTGAATGAAAATGTAGAAAGTTGATTGAGTCTCATTCCCCGGTCGTCAAATACTGACACTTTGGGTTGGTGGCTTGAAGACAGTTGATGGCTGAGTCTCCCAAAGCTTTGGTATTTGACAAAGTGGGAATGAGACTCTACAGTCAGATATCTTTCTCTAATTGTTTTTTTTGTCAGATTGGTTATTTTAATGGAGACAATGGATTATGGATGGTGGATTCTTATAAATGCCATTAGGAGCACTAGGAGGAACCAGAGGAACCTGATTTTTTCACAGATTATCAGTCTTGTGTGCTACTGTCAGGATATAGTGAACATTTCAGCACATATGACAAAAAGTTATTTTTAAAAACGTTACCTACTGCAGCTTTAAATACCTCACACTGAGCTCCATACTGATGCTGACTCATGTTTACATTAAACGCCAGTCTAATAGTTCGTGTTCCACTTCATTCCAAAGGTGCTGGATGGGGTTGAGGTCACTTCCTTACTGAGCTGGTTTGTGCATGGGGGCATTATTGGAACAATGGGGCCAAAACCAGGACAAGCAGATTGAGACCAAAAGGACATTAAAGTAAGTGTCCATATACTTTGGGCCACATACTAAACCCACAGTTTCAGCAATATACGACCTGATAGACAGACGTTCACCCAACCCACAGTACATATGATGTCAGGCCACCTGCCTCATATCAGCTTCTCCCCCTTGTACCCCAGTGCTGTAGTGACACAGTAGGGGACGATAGCCACAGTCGCTAGAGGCACCGTGGCACTTTTACAGAACGACAGCAGGTAGAATAAAGCTCCGCTGTGAACAGGCGGCCTAAAGGCAGAGTCAAATAACTGCAGCAGCACAAGTGTTGCACTTAAACAGATCGACCTGTAGATGGTGCCCTCAGGCCCCCTGGCGAACACTACTCTATTGGTGTGTGTATGCAGAGGAGAGTGGAGGCCCAGGCCCAGGCCCAACAGAGTCCCGGTGTTCCTGAACAAGCTGGCCAAGGGGGTCGTGTCCACGCTGACCCACTGTGCTTGGTGACACCAGCACAGCGCTTTCTCCACGCTCCAGAGGAGATCCACACCTACCAGCTGGAGGCACAGGTACAGAAGGAGAGCCAGGGAGAGGAGGAGCAGAGAGGTGACTAGGTAGGAACACAGGCCAGCCTCGTAGATCTGCTTGGTCCGGCTGAGAGATTCTGCCACCAGGATACCTGAGAGGAAAAGTTTATTTTGATTTCAATCATTTGATTTAATCTGTCTTTCTCTATAGTTGTTGTACTGTGCAGCGACATGCCACCATGTGTTATTAAGTTTAGATTTTACACCTTGTACAACCTGTTTTGATGACACTAATGGGGGAGAGACGATCATATATGGAAGCCCATTTGTGCTGGGAAAATACAATAAACTTTTTATCTCTGTAATCTATTACCTTTATTTTGCACACCTTACAGCAATACTCACACTGTTTAAAGGGCCTACTCTAACTTTTAACTCTTATGTTAGTGTATGTTTTGTGTTATTTTTTTTTTTTTTGCATTATTCTTTGTTTAGTGTGGTTCGTTCGTGTACTGCTGCTGAATGAGAATTTCTGTCCGTCTATTTACCTTAACAAGTGATATGATGTTGTAATAAGGAAAGTTTCTTTTGATAAAATTTAAAATTTGGTTTGTAGTAAATATGTCACTGTAACATGAATGTGAAAAGGATCTTGTAGAACAGGAAAATGAGCCAATATTTTTTTTGTCATTGTGGCATCAATAGGAAGCCATACCATGAGACAATTGGTAAAAATCTTGACTCGCTATTTTTGAATTTGTATCTTACGATTTAGTTTTACTTTTATTTTTACTTCTTATAGTGCCAAACTGTTATGACTCATCTCATTTGGATTTTAGAAGTCAAATTTGCTCAAATATCTTTGAAATCTTTGAACTTAAAAATTGACTGTACAATTATTTTGACTTAAAAAGTGAAAAGTATGCAGTTATCTCATAATTCTGACCAAGGAATTAACATTGTAACTATATTACAATTACATATCATAACTATGACTTAGAATTTTAAGTCAAAACCTTAATTTGTCCAATACTTTGGTTTATATCTGCAAATCAGTAACATTCCCATCTACCTGCTTAGTGATAATGAGCAAATGTTAGCATGCTAACATGATAAACTAAGATGGTAATTATGGTAAACATTATATAACTTGTAAACATGAACATGTTAGCATTGTCATTGTGGACATGTTAGCATGCTGACGTTAGCATTTAGCTCAAAGCACAGCTATGGCTAGGTACAGCCTCACAGAGTCGCTAGCATGGCTGTAGACTCGTAGTCTTTTTACGTGTTACTTTTACAGAAACAGAAATGTACAGAAAGACTTATTCTGCCTTCATGTCATATGTTTACAGGCTCTGATATGTATAAATAGTATGTAAAGAGAGTTAATATCAATGACAGTTAATCGACTGTTTGTTGTAGAAGTCTCACTTTGACTATCAGTTAAACAAGAATCCTTTCAACATGACTTGAACGCAGCATCGTGTGCTCTGTCCGTACCTATGACGACTCCTGTGATGACCTGATGGGGGAAATGTGCAGCGACAAAGACCCTGGAGAGGCACACACACACCTGCACACACCAGAACAGCGTCCACAGTGAGACACGCACACACCTGGAGGACAAATACACACGTTATTGCTCCGACTACTCGCAGTGCACAGAGGCGTTACGCAGGTAAGGTTGATCTTACCATTTCCTGATCTGATGTCCTTCTTTCTTCAGCAATGTGGCGAGGAGTGATGACATCATGGTGTAGTACACCGCTGCAGCCCCCATGGCATGACCCGACGGACTTCCTGTTAGGGCAGGAAGTACGGGTTTTAAGAGACGGGCCAAAGACGATCCTGAATTAACTCACACACGTTACTCACTATGTGTCCCTACCTGGTCCGGTCTCACAGGTCATGGGGAATTGCTCTATCATTGGGTGAGAGGAGTTGCCATAGTAACCTGTCTCCTGAACCCACCAATAGGGACGCTCTCCGAACAGAAGCCTTAACAACATCATCATCATCATCGTCATCATCATCGTTATCGTTTTCTTCATCATCATCATCATCATTATTAACACTCCATTTCCACTACTCACCATTTCAGCATCAGGTTGACCCAGTCTCCCACTACCGCCACCCAAACCAGTTTGATGGCTTCAGTTTGCTGTACATGGAACCATATGGGGAACAACAGGAAGAAGGTGTTGCGCAGGTCAGTTGCCATGGAGACTGACAGGAAGTAGCCCTGGCTGTGGCTGAAGTGGGTCTGCAGGTAGTATGTACTGCTGACACCGGAGCTGTGGAGCAAGTCCATTACCACTGCAAGAGAGGAGGGTGGACAGAGGTGTAACTGTGTGTGTGTGTGTGTGTGTGTGTGTGTGTGTGTGTGTGTTAATTCAGTTAAACTTCTGAAACAGAAAGCAGAGTAAATGCGTGCCTTTAACCTATGTGTGCATGCGTTGTTGTCATGTGCACGGCAGCATGCAGACTGTTGCTGTGTCTCTTTAGCTAAGCTAGTCTTGCAGCTGACTAGCTTAGCCGCGGGTTAGAACAGGTTCAGCTGAACTGGAACTCGCAGGGGTTTAAATGCAGCTGCGTGCTTACTTGGACTCGAACGCCGTGTTCTGTCGGGCACAGGCTCAGCTGGACTGCAAGCTAAACGTCAACTATCACCTGTATGTAAGTTACCTTTTTCACCTTAGGTTGCTCAGCAACAACAAAGCTGTACACTGTGATATTTTGTTGTCTAACGTCCTGTCGACACTGAACAGGATGTATCACTGTGCTTTTTTTTCATTCATGAGTACATGCACGCTTCCTTTTGAGCAGTAATAAGTAGAAACTCAACTTCAACTCTGTCTCCTTGCCCTCAACTGCAGTATCAATTATCTGTCAAATATATTTACATTATAGGTCCAGTGTATAATATTTAGGCAGAAATTAAATATTATATTATCTTTTCATTAGTGTACAATCACCTGAAAATAAAGTTTTCGTTACCTTATAATGAGCAATACATCTATAGATACATTTTCTCTGCAATCAGGTGTCTCCAGTTAACTTGTATTGCTGCAATTAACTTATGCGCAGTTATTATGAATTGATTCAGTTTAGTTGGCATGTTTAGATTAAACTTCAGATACATTGACATCTCATTGCATTTAGTAATTTCTACAGAGCAGCTAATGTTTAGACTAAACCACACGTGGCGTTTAACCTCAGTTTGACGCATCAAAGACATAAAAGACTACTGACACAAATACATAAAACCTTAAATCACAGTTAAGCTGAGGATGGTCAAGTTCATTTATATAGCACATTTGAAACAACCAGAGTTGTATATATATAAAATGTTTAGTAAAATATCAATATTACTGAACATATATAAGTAGACCAAATCATACTTACAGAATTTTGTAATGAGATCCCAGTTAGAGCATCGTCCTCCTGCTGATTCAGCTTGGATATGGGCTGCACAAACAACGAGTCAGTCCTCTAGTGCTGCTATAAACAGCATGTTTAACAGTGCACCCAGCGATGTGTGTGTGCGTGAATCCTTAATTTAAGTGGTCTCCTAGGTGTCTGCTGAGATGCCCGATGACTGTTGAGTTGCCCTTAACTGATGTGTACGTTTGTATACGTGTGTATCTGGTCATTGAGTGTAGTATTATACTATTTGAAAAAAGGCAAAATTGGATCAGTGTGTGCAGGTTTTGTTTGTGTGTGATGGATGGATGGGTCGTGGGTGTGTTTGGCTGTGCGCTGCTAGTCAGACACTGGGTCTCTTTTATATTCAGACAGATCACCTGGTCCTCGGGCTCAGACTTTGGACAGGAGTGAGAGAGCGACAATGGGAGGGAGGGGAGGCACAGACAGAGCCTAGAAGAAGCATGTCCAATATTGTCCAATATTTAGAGAATGGTGTCCTTTTTTTTTTACCCTTTCTAAAAGCACAAAAGTGTAATGAGTGTGGTGAAATGTCTGCAACATAAACTGCAATGATTAGCATGTCCAGCCAACTAGCTTACCCACCACAGTACTAGTGTTACTCCCAAGGCCATCATCTAAAGGTTCTGTAGCTTTCACAAAACCAATGTTAATAGTGACACTGGTGGCTGTTTAGTGAACTGCAGTCAGCATCCTGGTGCTGGCACTCGCACTTTTAAATTAAATTATAATCCTATTTAAAATAACATTATTATCTGCAATGTTCCTATATTTTATTTGGACCATTGACTCCATGATATTAACTAGCTTGCCCTTTGCAAATCACCCCATCAGTCAACACCACAAAGCAACTAATGCTAGCTCCACACTGCACAACAAAGTCCAAAAAATCTGTTGGGGAAGGTCTCAGTTACGTTACAACTTGTTCACATATCGGCAACAAAGCACTCTGTCATACCACATACCAGCTAGGGAAAGTGCACATACAGTCAGCAAAGCAGGCTAAAATCAGTGTTAACCATAATACGGCACTAACTGGAGATGGTGGAGTATGAACCTTCAGGCAAAGAGCACAGAGTTCAACATGATGGATAGCTTTTTGTGCATATGGATAATATTGTAGGTTTATGATATTATTTTATCCAATATCTTAATATCAAATTATTGATTAGATTGATGATTCGCTATTAAAATAAGATCTTAAATAAATGCAAGCTAGAGAAAGTCATCAGAAAACATGAGCATGAGAGGGTTAACAGTGACTGTAGTTTTCATGTTGACCAGCGCTGTGTGAGACACTGTTCCACTTCCCAGCCACAAGTTTCCACTGTGACACAGGATCAGGCCATGTCGTGATCTACCACATGGCAGAGGAGGAACTCATGTACGCATGCATGTCCACGTGTAAACACATCTGCCAGTAGGCAAACACATGCACGGACTGCGTCTGACGGAGCATCCTCTGCACATCCCCTCTCCACTCCACCACTCCTCACCCTGTCTGACTCCCCAGCGGTCTCTTTCTGATTCCTACGATTATTTGCAGCCTTTAAATTTCTCTCTTTATTACTCATTTCGTTCACTTAATATAATATAACCTACCAAACTCCCTCCATCAAAGGACTAGTTCATCAAAAGGCATTAAACAAACAAACAGAAACACAAAAGCAATATTTTTTTATAAATCCTGTTCCTCTAGACGATTTTCTTTCAGTCCTGTTCTCCAACCACCACTGTACCTTAATTTACCTCAGGAACTTTGTCTTTTACCTTTTGTTATTGTGTTATTTCGGCTGTCCTATTTTCACCTCACCAGTGTTTTGCACATTAATTCCACTCACACACCCCTTCCATCACCTTCTTAAGCACACATACATTACAGAATGTACAGTAGCTAATGGATCATGAACCATATGCCTACCTACACACGTCTAGAGGTTGACTTGATTGAGAAGTTAGGTCACACACACGTTTACAACACACTCAGTGTTTCTGTATTGGTCTGCTGCAGTAATCTTTGTCTATAAATGACTGCACCACTAATAAAAACTACAATTGCAGATTAATGACAGGAGCTAATGTATCAGCATACAGGAGGAAGGTGGTCAGGGGGTTGGCCACTATGTCAAATTGGCTTTAAAGCCTGGTGCTCTTCATGGGGTCATGATTTACACTTAGAGCAACACAACCCTAAATGCCATCTGGTTCCATTGTATTGGAGAGAAGGCATTTATAAGGCTGATATCATTCCAAAACTAAACAACTCATACCAAAGCAATCTAGATGGATAAATAGCACAACATGTAAGAGGAAAAATATGTATTTTGTGGCTGAACTCTTCTTTTCAGACACAGAAATACAGAAGACTCATAACACGTCAGGGAAAGGGTCTGACAGTGGTCTCATCTCTGCTTCATTTAGATGTTGTTGTTTGTCTTGGGATTCAACGGATGACTAACAGGACGCCACAGGACCAACAGACGCTGTTGATGACATGAAAAAAGGACACACAAGGTCAGACAAAATCAGTGGTAATCAAATTCATACCATGAATATTGATCGTAAAAAATATTGAAGGCAGAGTTAAAATACTAAGCAGGATGTGTTGGTGCTCTTACCTGTCTGAGGGTGCCCTCGGTGAAGCAGATCTTGCCGACAGCACAGATGGGTACTGCAGCCACAGAGGAGAAGGCCATGGCCCACCCCAGATGGTAGGCCCAGGCTGGGTACACATGGCCCTCACTGGTTGTCAGGGGCTGGTAGTCCAGAAAGGAGCAGATTAAGCAAACCTTGAAGGAAAAGCAGAGGAACAAACTAGTACTCTTCCTACTTTATTGTAGCTTGATATTGTGTTGCTTATAAACCAAGACATGATGGCCTAAAGTCTTTGCTGACTTGGATTTTGAATTTTGCAACTAAGTCACCTGCAACAGTTTTGGCCTTCTGGTGCCAAGAAATTCCCCATGCAAAGTAACTCTGGGTCCATATTTATTAAGCTTCTCAGCATCCCTGCACTGAAAGTGAACTAAATATTTCTACCAGTCATGTAGAGTCATTGTATTGTATTACTTTATTAATCCCACAACGGGGAAATTCTCTTGTCACAGCAGCATTTTACGTGAAATAAATAAATACAGATATTAAAAAAAACTATGGTAAAGTGGTAAAGCTATGGTATGGTGGTAATTTGAAAAACAGAAACTACAACGTTGATCAGGTGTTGTAGAGTCTGACAGCGGCAGGGATGAAAGACCTGCGGAACCTCTCCTTCTTACACCGTGGGTGTAACAGTTTGCTGTTGAAGGAGCTACTCAGGGACCCCACAGTGTCAGGTAGGGCGTGAAAGGTGTTGTCCATGATGGATGTCATTTTATCAAGTCACTTGTAGTAGTTGTAGTTTTCTGTCAGCTGTATTCATCAAAAAGATAATTTAATAACCTTATTGTAATCACGTGTTCCTAAAACATCTTTCCTCTCCATCCCTGGTGACTCCCAACAGGTTAGGACTCCTCCGGAGCGCTAATATGTTAATTACTGTTAGTTAGGAATGACTAAGTTAAGACACTTTGAACCTTTATAAATAAGGGCTCTGCAGGGACTCTTCACCTTCTTATCCTGTTCAGATCGCCCATCCATTCCGATGAATATATCTTTTCTAGGATGTCTAGATTAATTATTAATGTCATCTGACTCAACCCAAATAAACAAATGTACTTGGCTGTTTCGCATCATCTAAAGTTGACTGCAGTTGAGCCACACCCCCTTTTCTAAGATTAACCTAAGATGGCACCACGAACGGTCGCCTCAGTGTGTTGGTAAATGGACCTGTACTTGTATAGCACCTTTCTAGTCTTCCGACCACTCAAAGCACTTTTACACTACGTGCCACACACATTCACACACCGATGCTGTGCATTGGGAGCAATTTGGGGTTAAGTATCTTGCTCAAGAATGCTTCGACACGTGGCAGGAGGAGCCGGGGATCAAACCAACAACCTTCCGATTAGGGGACAACCCGCTCTGCCTCTGAGCCACAGCACTGCGCATAGTTTTTTTTTTTGTTTGTTAACTAAGTTTTCGGCTGTGATACCCG